GGTGACATAACCCAGAAACCAACCCAACTATGAAGTATCCAAAGTAAATAAACCTACAAGACTGTAAACAGGGAGCCAGAGACATTAATTGATAAACAAGGACAACTACAAACCAAAAAGAGGGAAATAATTGTGTAGTTACAGAACTTCTAAATGGTAGGGAAGTCAAGACAACTACAGGATAGAACGGACTATTCTAAACTTAGGAAGAAAACTATAAACCACAGGGTAACCTCAAAGAAAAATGATAAACCTTCACATCACAATAAAAACAAAGGACCAGCACAAATACATAACAAATATTAAAACAACAGCAATGGAGGAAATGATAACACGATTCATAAACAAAATGAGCTCAGCACAAAAAACTATATGGAACAAAGAAATCAACACCACGAAAAAGCACATAACAAAAGTGACAGCAACAAATTCATACCTGTCGGTAATTATATATCTGGTAAGGGACTTATCTCTAAGATTTACAGAAAACTCCAATGCCTCAAAAGCAAAGGAATTGAAATTGAATTCAATTGAAAAATGGGCTGAAGACAGGAATAGGCACTTCACCAAGGAGGATATTCAGGTGGCCAGCAAATACATGAAGAGATGCTCACGATCACTGGCCTTTAGAGAAATGCAGATCAAAACAAGATACCATCTCACCCCAGCATTGATGGCAAGGGTCAACAAAACAGAAAATAACAAATGTTGGCAGGGATGTGGAGAGATCAGGACTCTCACACATTGTTGGTGGGACTGTGAAATGATACAACCACTGTGGAAAGCAGTATGGCAATTCCTTAGAAAGCTGGAATCAGAGGTATCATTTGACCCAGCAATCTCATTACGAGGTATATATCCTAGAGGTGAGAGCCAGGACAGGAACAGATACAGACACACCCAAGCAAAAAGACAGAAACAACCTATGTGTCCATCAATGGAAGAGTAGATGACCAAACTAGGGTACATACACACAATGGAATGCTGTGTAGCACTAAAGAATAATGTAGAGTCTACAAAACACCACATAACATGGATGAACTTGGAGTGCTGTGTGAAATAAGTCAATCACAGAAAGACAAATATAGTATTAGTTTGTTGATGTGGAGGGTCCAGGAAAGGTTTATACATGGAGGAAAACTTTCTTTGTTGATTGCCAGGCAGGGAGGGGAACACTGCAAAAAAAAAACACATCGACTCATGTCATTTTAGTTTTGTGTATGTCATTGTACTTAAATTATATTTCAATAAAAAGCATTAAAAAAAAAAAGTCAAGTCCTGCCCTTGGACTTCCATTCCTAAAGCTATGAGAGACGACGGATAAGAGGAAGAAAAAAAGAGGTTCACAAAATGCCTCAAGCCCTATTCTTTGCCTTCTTTCTTCTCTTTAATCCCTGTTCCTCCTCACAGCAGATGAACTGCCACACCTCTCCACAGGCAGGCTTGGAATTTCCAATCTTCTCTATAACCCCCATAAAGTTTAAGAAGGGTTCTTTCTCACAAATTTAACACATACGTCAGTCATTCCCATACTATTGTAATTTTTGACATTTCTTAAAAGTACTTGCACTCTTATTTTCTAAAGTTTTAAAAGTCAACTTTTCAAACTTAAATTTTGCAACATCTTAGTAATTATTAATCTTTAGCAGTAATAGCATCTATGAAATCACAGTTTTAATATCCTGGTTATTATTTCCCTACCTCACATCAAAATAAACATACATTTATTAAAATAACAACTTTAGACCCTCACCCATCACCAGGGTTTTGAGCACATAGAGCACAATCCAAAGGTCTCTGTAGATACTCTAGGATCTCTGGTAGCTAAACTATAATTTGGACATCAAGAGATTTTTTAAAAGCTAGAAAGAAACTTAAAAGCATTTGGTCCAATTCCATCATTTCATAAATTAAAAAGCTGAGACCAGAGAGGGTAAGTGATTTGTCCAAGGCCAGATAACAAGTGTTTAATGAAATGTCTAGGACTAGCATTCAGTTCTATTATTAGTCCAGCACAACATCCACTACACCATGTCCACTCAGATTATACCAGAATGATACAGTATCAATAAATCTATAACCTACCTCACTCTTCCATTCAGGTTTATCTGAACATGCTGCTTAAAATCTGGGTATTTGGATGCTAGATACGCAAAGTCAGGAGGTTTGTCCTTGTATCTATTTCTTGCATGCATTGATTTACTCAGAGCCATCCTTAATTTAAAAAAAAAAAAAGAAAAGAAAAGAAATCAACATATTTAGTTAAAAAAAACTCTTAATGGGAAAAAGTTGTGGATGTCAATAGAAATAGTCAACAAATCTTTGCAGTCAAATGAGAAAGTAAAAATTATATTTTTTTAAAATTTACATAACATATAATAAATCATTATTTCTCAAACGAGGGGAAGGGAAAAAAAGCTCCTTCAAGAGCATAAAAGTGACAGAATGCAGTATAATCTATACCCAAGAATATTACAGTTTGAGGTTAGTTTTACAGTGGCCTTGCAAGAACTGAACATTTGATACCAAACTCTCACTGCTGTTGAGTCAGATCCGACTCACAGCGACCCCTCCTTGGGTTTCTGAGGCAGTTATCACTACGGAAGTAGATTGCCCAGTCTTCCTTCTGAGGAGTAGCTGGTGGGTTTGAACCATCAGCCTTCTCTTTAGCAGTCAAGTGCCTTACGCACTACACCACCAGAGCACCTGAACATTTGATAGTGTACCATAAAGTCAACAAGGTTTGAAAAATATCTTCTATTCCAATTTAATTGATAAATTTCAGTCTTGTCATTCCTAGGTGGCAAAAAAAAAAAAAAAAAGGAAACAAGCAATTTGATTTCTTCCAGATTCAAAAGAGGAAAAATGTTAACATGTTTAAAAAAGAAAACAAAAACTGAAAGAAAAATACTGTTAATGTTTTAGTAAGCATCTCTAGAAAATAGGTAATTTTTATAATATTTTAGTGTCAATCTTTGTGTGGTAGGTGATTTTATTTTCTTCTTTATATCTTTTTTCCAATTTTTTTTATAATGAGCATTCATAATGCAGTATTACATAAACCAGAAACCTAGGAGTTACCAAATAGTTCTCTCTCCCTCTCATATCCAAGAAATCACCAGTTCTGTGGATTTTACCTGTGAAATACCTCTCAAGTCCATCCATCTCTATCAAAATCATCCTAGTACAAATCTGAGGAGCCCTGGTGGCACACTGATTAAAGCACTTGGCTGCCAACCTTTTGCTAGTCAAAAGGTTGGCAGCCTAAATGCAACAGCAGCTCCACAGCAGGCAGACTGAGCCTTGGAAACTGTATGGCGCAGTTCTATTCTGTCCTAAAACGTCCTGTGAGTCAGAATAGACCCGATGACCACAACCAATCTAGACAGCTAGAAGAGCCTCTTAACTGGTCTCCCTGCATCTACTCTCGGTTCTCTGCATTCATTTTTCTACTTTTCAGTCAGAGTGACCATCTCCTAACACAAACCTCATTATGGCCTCTTCCTATGTCCACTTGCTCAAAACCTTACTCTTGGTATTATAAAAACAAATCTTTAATCCAGGAGGCATACAAAACCTTGAATGGTCTGGCCTTACCTTTTGCTTAAACCACACACTCCTTCCTTTTTCCTTTTAGGCCACATCCCTCTTGCTACAACGACTTTACACAGACAACATCTACCTGTAATGTTCTTTTCTTCCCCTCTTCACCTGGTGAACTGCCACTCATCTTTCAGATCACAGGTCAAGCAGCTCTTGCTCCAGAAAGTATTCTTTTCTCTAATCTCCTCAGTATGTCATACCCCCAATTATAAACTCTCATACCAACAAGACCTTTTCCTTTGCAGCCTTTGTTAGACACATAATTTTACACAGTATTAAGTCTGTCAGCATTCTATTTCAAAAAGTTTTTTTGACAGCTTTCTATATTCAAAATATATAACAAATTAAAAAAAAAGTCCTCACCCAAGACCTTTTCTCTGACCTCTAGATCATCTTTCTGCCTACCAGAATTCTCAGAATTCTCCATTTGAATGGCTCAAAAGTAGTTCAAGCCCAAGATGTCCAAAGCCACCTCAAACTGGTCTTCTAATTATCCCTCTCTACTGTAGTGGCTAAGACACTTGCCTGCTAACCAGACGGCTGGCGGTTCAAACCCACCAGCCACTCCTCGGAAGGAAGGTTGGGCGATCCTACTTCCATAGTGATACTGCCTCGGAAACCCAAGTGGGGGTCGCTATGAGTCGGGTTTGACTCGATGACACATAACAACAACAACAACAAGTGGCATCACCATATTTTTAGGTGCAGATAGAAATCTTTAGCACCTTCTCCTCTCCACCTTATCCTCATTCCACACAAAGAGAACAAACACCATATCCTAGATATTCTGTATCTCCAAATTTTTTCCTGACTGTCTGCTTTTCAGTATTCACAAGAGCATATCAGTCTAACTTACATCATTATCATCTCTTTCTTAGATTACTATAATAGCAATCTGAGACTCTTAACAAAGGTGAAATGAATTAAATTACAGATAGGGCAAATCTAGTTCATCAAATTTCTGTAGCATTCTCTAGAATGCTCTTTGGAAGTGAGGATGGTGAGACTACATCTTATGTACTTTGGACATGTATCAAGAGGGACCAGTCCCTGGAGAAGGACATCATCATGCTTGGTAAAGTAGAAGGTCAGTGAAAAAGAGGAAGACCCTCAATGAAACATACTGACACAGTGGCTGTAGCAATGGGCTCAAACATGGCAATGATTACAAGGATGGCACAGGACTGAATGGACAGTGTTTCATTATGTTTGTACACAGGGTCATTCGGCTCAACTCAATAACACCTACCAACAACAACAATTTCTTGCTAACCAAGCTTCTAATGGAGGCAATGGGTTCTTTGCTACATCACACCTTGCATCAGCACTGTCATGAACCCTCTCAAACCTACTCTGTTACTTTTTTCTTCCTGGCTCATTCTGCTCTAACCACACTGACATCTTCCTGTTTATCAAGTCTGGCACCATCCTGCCTCAGGACTTTTGTACTTACTGGTCCTTCTCCATGGGTATTATTTCTTCAGAAATACATATAAGAAAGGCTCCCCGCCTTCTTCAGGTTTTTGGTCAAATACCACCTTCTCAGTGAGGCCTTTCCAGAGTAACACACCCGCATCCTTGTCTCCCGTCCTGGCTTTAGTCCACTACACAGAACCTACCCACCAGACATTCTGTATATTCTACTTTTTATGTGTCCTGCCAATAAGTTTAACGAGAGAAAAGTTGTTTGCCTGTCTTGTTCACGGCCATATCCCAGAGCTTCAAACAGGGCCCGGCAGAATAGGTACTCAATAAATACTTGTTGATTGAAAGCACAACAGGCTGCTTTTCACTGTCCAGGCCACTGAAACACAGCACTCATTTCGGGTAGGCAGTACCTATCTTGAGTCTCAAAAGGCTTGCAGTCTTTTGTTCCAGATAATCTGAATCCAGAAAGCCACAGTCGTGGAGCCTTGAAAACAACGTTTCCACTGTTTCTTTCATCTTTCTCATAACTATGCTTCAGTTTCCCCGGTTCCTCCTGACCCGTGACCCTCTTCAACTACCATTTCTCTTAACATCTAATTTATTTCTGCAAAACAAAACTCCTTCTGCACAGATCGTTCCCTTCATCTCCATTTTCTCTCCTCACCTTCCCTGAGAAATCCTACTTTTTTCACTTGGCCCGCCACTGCCTTCATTCCTTTCACGCCTTCATCCTGCTCAGTTTTCTCCTGCCTCACTTTCAGGGATCTCCCTGAAACTCTTCAACCACTGTGGTCTTTCCCACTTCAATCCTAGTCTCTATTCTATTCGCCAACTCCTCCCATCCACCCACCCAGTCCCTCCCTCAGGCACACACTCTCTCATAAGGTCTGCATCCCTAAGACCCCGAAGTCCGCACCCTCATGGGCCCAGAACCAGAAAATGAGAAACCTGGGTGACCCACAAATTAAGTGAACTCGCAACCCTCGAGGGAGATGTGAAGTAACCCACCTCCGAGGCCGAAGTTCCTGCCAGACCAACTGTCTGGCGTGAGCCTCTACAACTCCATGGTCTTAAATCACCCGCAGAGCGAAGCTCCGAGAAACGCAGAACTTACGCTACCAGCGCGCCACCATCTTGTGCCACCATCTAGCCTCGTGATTGGACGAGTTACTATCGCGCTACTTAAAGCACAGCTTGAAGACCGAAGAACCTGTCGCGAGACCTGGAGTTTGCGACTCCTACAGACAGAAGAAGGGGGCGTGCTAGCAAACCGAGTCTTTTGTGGTGTTTCTCCAAGTGTGGTGTGAAGATCACGTGCATTAGAGTCTTCTAGGGGACTTTTTTTTTTAAAAAAGAAGGTAGGTTTCTAGGCCCCGCTCCAAATTTATTATAGCATACTCTCTGGAAGTTGGGCGGGGAATTTGAGGATGAGGGAGGGAGGCTTGGAGGTTTGGTGACTGTCAAGTAGGACTTAAAAAGAGCAACAGGTCTTTCTTCTTCCGATGTCTCATTTGATCACCACAGATAACCTTGTGAGGTAGGGAGAAGCAGTCTCACAAGGAAGAATAGAGGATCAGAGATACTAAGTCCTTTGTTCAACACACCCTGATGCTATCAAGACCCCATGTTCCATTTCATCACCTGCCTCTTGAACTGGAAGCACTGTTAATGCATTTCATTTTTCTTTTCAACTCGGTTGTATTCGTTTTTATCCTCTGGTAAGTCGGATGAGCGTTAGTCTCCATTTTACAATTGAAAGGGAAAGATTAATGATTTTCAAAAGGTACTGAGCCTCTGGACCCCCACCTAGTGCGTCTTTCTAGTAAAAAAGCTTACCTCTTAGTAATTAATGTGAAAGCGTCAGGCAAACCATTGCCATAAAATTGAGAGAGTGGGGATTAAGGGATGGAAACCTTCGGCTTTGTGCAGAACTGAGTGTACCAGTAGTCTCCTGAGATGTTTTCATTATTGTGTAACAAACCCCAAAAAAATATGGCTTAAAACAACAACCATTTTATTTGCTCACAGTTCTGCAGTCTGGACTGGGATTATTAACCTTGCCATTCTGCTGCCCTTGCTAGTGGTAATTTGTGTGGCTGCTTTGAGCTGGTGGGTCAGTGAAGACTGGGTTCAGCTGGAACAGCTGGGTCTCTGCTTGTCTCAGGTCCTCTTCCTCTCCATG